GGCCGAGCAGTTGGAGGTGTGACAGTGTGACCGCAACGCTGCTTTCCTCTTGCCTGTCTATCCCGTCATGTCTCTTCCTCCAGCAGCCGGCCGTGCCCGCACGGAGCTGGCAGGAGAAGGTGGGCAGAGCGGCGGGTCCCCACGCTGGCTGTGATGTCACAAGCTCGTCACCGCGTGTCCTGGTTCCGCTGTCCCCTCCTGCCCAGGCTTCTGCAGCGTCTGCTCTGTGGCCCGGTTGCTGGGACAGCGTTTGCTGGCAGACACTTCCCAGAGTCCAGGCGTTGGCTCATGGTGCCTAGCAGATCCGGGTAGCAGAAAACTGGATTCATGGTTGGGGACCCAGACTGTAAGCCGTGCCACAGCGGGAGCGACTTCCCTGCTCTGGATGCAGCTCTTCTCACCTTGCAGCCTCACTGGCTCTTCTGTGTAGAAACTCAGTGAGCAGAGGTTCGTGGAGCCATGAGGTCCTTGCTGGCTGGAGGAGCTGTTGCGTCCCGGTGAGGTCGGGAGAGTGGCGGTCTGCTCCGCCAGTGAGCCAAGTGCCAGGGTGCAGTGACATAGACTGGGGATGGTGGGGAGGAATGGCTGGGAGCATGCGAGTATGGCCAGACCTGGCAGGAGAACAGAGTTTGTAGGAAGCAGAAATGGGGAGGAAGAGATACGGGGCAGAAGTTTGGTCTTGTTTTTCATTTTAGCCACAGGAAAGGATGGTTGTATTTTGGAGGACTATGTCTTCTGCGTTCTCCTCTGTAACCTCTGGCAGCAGAAGGGCACAACTTCTGTTTTCTCAGGCATTATATTGTTAATCATTTTAACTGAATAAAATATCATCTTAGGTCCCCCACTCTCCAGTCTAGGGAAATAAATAGCTCCCTGGATGCTCAAGAAAAGTGGCACTTTCCCATACTCCAGTAAAATAATGAGGCTTCCAAGAGGCAGAAACTTTACATGGAGGAAGGGGTTAAAAGTGACGTATGAACCAGATAGTCCAAACAAGCCACAGCAGGGAAGAAAACAGCTACTGAGTATATGAGGCAGGGTTTGGGCACAGTCCAGCTCAGCAGCAGTGGGGTTTGCTTATAAGTTGTCGCTACCGGCCTCCGCGCCGTGCTCGTTGCACACAGAGTCTGGCCCAAACTCAGGGAAATCCTGATGTCAGCAGCTTCCGTAGAGGATATTTGGTTTCCCAGGTTTGATGTCCACTGCTTTGTGCTTCTGCCTTGCTAAAGTTTGTACTCTCTGTGCCTTGTCTGTCCTTGACCGCAGTGACCTTCATTGGGCAGTCCAGTCCCTTGGTGGGAGAACCTCTACCTGTCACCTTAGGAGCTTGGGGTGGCTCATCATCTTACCAATGCCAACAGGTCACCTCTCTCATCCCTCATTTGGCCTTACTAGGTCTGTTGTTTGATTAGCCAAGATGTTTCCTCACGACTTGGCCTCATAAGCACGTTCTTACTGTGGAGACTGGCACGTTGTCCCTGTGTGGCTGTTCAGTGGTGTCATAGGGCAGATAGTGGTTAGTGGTGTCTTAACATTGCATGTCCCACAGTATCCTTGAGTCTATATGTAGTAAGCAGTTTCTGTATCAGCTTTCCATCTTTACAGCACTAATTGTTGGTCAGCATTAAATGCTCATCACACTAGGGCTCTAGTGTCTTTGCTCAAAGCTGCTTGTGAAAGGCAGCAGATGGGTGCTGGATCAGAAGGATGTTTTTGTCCTTCTGTCCAAGGGGTGACATTCACCGACTCCCTGGCCACCGCCTCCTCCATTCAGTTCTGTGGAGGAGAAGCAGGGAGCAGGAAGGATATGACTCCAGGTGGAGGCAGAGTCACCAAAATAACAGTTTTCTGTTTCTTCAGGGAGCTTCTTTTACCCCAATAACGATACACAGATCTGGAAATCTTTCCTCTATCTTTGGAAGGGCCTACGAATCTATTGAGATACCTTCCTTGGAGCCCCACGCATGTTCTTGTCTCATCCTATAGCAGGAACATAGGAATCACGTGAACAACCTGGTAGTTACCAACAAGAGGGCATTTGATATTGCCTATATTGCCTTCCTATAAGGCATCCATGGGTAGAGACAGAACTTCTACTTACAGTCCTCTGTTTTAGCAAGTAACTTGGTGGTGCAAAAAAAAGGGATACCATTTACCTAAAGTATTGCAAAAACGAAGGTTGCCTGAAAATTAGAAAAAAAGATAAATTCTGTTTTGTTAGTGTATCATTCTGAAAGGAAAGAATGTTGGCTTACTTTTCTTTCATAAACACTCTGCAATTAATAATTTTGCATGTGTTTAATTACCATGTTCCTGGCCACCTGATGGGAATCCATGTGACTAAAATGGCACAGGGCCATTGCAGAGGTGATATGCAGACATGCAGTTTTTAAGTGTTTTCTGTCTCTAAGCTGTACACTTATAGGAGTTTGGAAGTCATTGGGTTGTCAGCATCTTAAAATGCTTCTACCTTTTACTGTGAAAACTACGTAGGTGACCTAATCCCTTTCTATCCCATAAAACCAACTCTCATACAGCACAGTTCTGCTCTGAGAAGAGATTCTTGAAAAATGGGATTGCATATTGGCTCTCCAAAACACCAAAGTAAATCATCTCATTCGTATATATGAAGGTGTGTGTGTCTTTTTTTTTCCGGCTCACTGCCAGCCCTGTAAACTCAATCTGGAATGAGACAGTCAAATTGCTATTTTTCTGGAATGCAGTGATGGGAAATTCTACTTTTGGACCATTGCTGTTGACCGTATGTGAATAGAATATAACTCTCTCCCCCAGACCTATGAACACCTGGCTGAGCAGAGACTAACCACACAAAATCCTCTCAGCAAAGGCAATAAACAGGACCCCGAACAGACTCAGAAAGCAGAGCAGTTGTGAAGGGGCATGTTTCTTCCATCTGTGGAACAGAACTGCATCAGGTTCTCTGTTCAGTAGGAAAGGGAGTGATAGAAAGAAAATGATTGGAGTAACTTATATTTTGTCATGTAGAACTCAGTGGGAGGCTTTTTTTGTTTGGAATTGGAGTAGGAGGAACATCCAACTGCTTGTGAGAAGGGAGCACGCTGATGGGCAGCAAACCCAATAGCCTTGGTTAGCAGATCTGGGCTGTGATGCCATGGCAGATATGTCCATGACCTTGAAGAAGCAACTGCTTTTAGGCAAAATTACTTGTGTATAATGAGTCTTCCTAAAGACACAAACTGTGTCCCACAGAGATGTGGCGCTACTCCAACAGATCAGCTCCCCAGTTCCTGTCCTGCTGGGGAGATGAGGCTGCTGCACACGGAGTAGTACCTGTCATATGCAATAGAGTTGCCAAGGTCTCAGATGTGATTGCTGATGTATCTCAAATAACTGAGCCTTGTCACAACCAAGGGCAGACCTTTGGTGGCTATGGCCAGGCTAGGCTTCAGTCATGTTTTTGGGCTTTGTTTTCAACTGGTCTATGTTTATTCCGTTTCCTAAATATTTTCTTGCAATCTCAATTTACAGCAGTGCTGCTATGACTGTTATTTATTACATTTGTTTCTTTCCTCTGATCAGGATCTGCCATCCCTGTCTTCTCTTTAACCTCCTGCTTGGAGTGAGGGGAAACAACTTGGTGGCCAGAAGCAGCTAAATACTCAGGGAGTAGAGCTGCTGCTCACAAGGTGAGGAATTGATTTGGCCAGTATAGAGAATGACTGGGACAGAAAAGAGCTGAATGCTGAAAATTTGCTGTGTGTTTTGACAAGCACTCATCCTGCTTCCTCTGTTTCCATGCTACATAGGCCCTTTTAATTTTCCTGCTTTCAGGAAGATTAATAGGGCAGGATGTGATAAAGATAAAACACAAACACACTGTCTTTGGGAATTGAATCTATTTTCCAAAGGAGCTTATCCGAAATGAAATCAAATCCCATGTGTTTTTCAGCATTAACACTATGCTTAGAATATTAGAAGAAGGAAATAACTAAAACATGGCTATTTTTCTTTTTCATTTTGATAGTATGTTTAATGTTCTATTGGCCAGTTATTTGCCTCAAGCTTCATTCCCTGGGCCAGTGCTATATATTTGTTTGCCTTACAAATGTTTTCAGCCCTGATTTTTGTAAAAGGAACTTTGGAAATCAGTGTAGCCAATGTGGTGTTGTATCCCAAAGTCAACGAACCACTCAAAACAAAACCCGAGGGGCTTATCCTACTGTATTCATCTCATATTCTGACCTGCCACAAGTAAATAGACATGTTAACTGGTTCACTGCCAACTCTGTAAGCATTGCTAATCTCCATCCAGTTTATCTCATCTGTCGCATTCCAAGATTCATTTCCAAGTTGTGTTTTCCAATACAAATAATAAAAACCAGGAGCCTCTAAATGTTTCAGTCTAAACGTTCATTACCATGCTTCCTCAATAAAAACAGTTGATCATACTGCTCAGTTGCCTATTTGTTTTGTAAATTAAATTTAGATACAATTTGATGTAGAATACTTAGGGCTTTTTTAGTAAGGAAAATGCCTGTGCCTGAAAAGAAGGAAAATAATATATTTAGAAGGTGTAGATGTCCCCATTATGTCATCTGGTTCCTTACACGATTAAACATGTGAATACTGGAAGAAGAGCAGCCATAGATAATGGGAAGTGGTAAGAGAAATAGTTATGCTGGAGGTTGTTGAGAGCCAATTTTGAGAACAGCAAGTGACATGATTTGTTTCTATGGTTGTCTCTTTATGATAGAGAATGCTCTTTGCAATCTGTCCTGCAGTAGCCATCCATTCCTGTTTCATATTTTCTTCCTCTCTCCCTTTCCGCGTTCCTCAGTCTCAGATCCCTCGCTCTGCCCAGAGAAGAATACTGAGGGCCTGGTTCCTACAGCACTAGCAAACGGTGACTGATGAGCAGCGGATCGCTGGCAGTTGCCTCTTTTGGATTTCTGTCTCAGAGAAGCAGAGGGGATAATTTACTGCTAGTTCCTCTGCTCACTGCAGCAGGTGTCAGGACCATGAGTGACACAAAAAAGGACAAGCTCCTTCAGGAAAGTCCTGTGAAAGCAGAGCTGCATCTGCTGTCCTCCAGACGGCTCACAGGAGATGCCTCTCAGGACTCCCATCAAAGACAAGACTGCAAGCAGGGGTCAGAAAATGGGATGGACCTGTCTTTTGGAAAAGGAACAAAAGGATCAGTAAGTCCCTGTGGGATAGAGGTCTGGGAGTGCAAGGATGGTGGCAGTGCACACATCAGCAAGGTTATTCTCACTGGGGACAATCCAGAGCCACCTGTGAGTGAGAAAGGCTCCATTTGGGTTCAGCGGGTGGGAGAGAAAACCTACGAGTGTCCTGAATGTGGGAAGAGCTTCAGCCGAAGCTCGTACCTGAGCCAGCATCAGAGGATCCACCTGGCAGAGAAACCCTTCAGCTGCTCCGAGTGTGGGAAGAGTTTCACACGAAACTCGGACCTCATCAAACACCAGCGCATCCACACAGGCGAGAAGCCCTACCAGTGCAACGAGTGTGAAAAGACCTTCAGCCAGAGGTCCAATGTGATCAGGCACCAGCGGACGCACACAGGGGAGAGGCACTACCAATGCAATGAATGTGGGAAAAGCTTCAGCCAGAACTCGCATCTCATTGTTCATCAACGAAGCCACAAGGGTGAGAAACCGTTCAGTTGCCCACGGTGTGAGAAAAGCTTCAGTGACCGCTCTTCTCTCATAATCCACCGGAGAGTCCACACTGGAGAGAAGCCCCACAAGTGCCAGGAGTGTGGGAAGCGTTTCCGGGACAGCTCAGCTATCATTCGGCACCAGAGGATCCACACGGGAGAGAAACCGTATGAGTGTACCGAGTGTGGGAAAAGCTTCCGCCAGAGCTCCTCGCTGGTGACCCACATGAGGACACACACGGGCGAGAGGCCCTACAAATGCCCTGTGTGCGGAAAGGGCTTTAGCCAGAGCTCGGCACTTACCACTCACCGTCGGATCCACGTGGGAAAGGCCTTGCCCATGTTCCACGACAGCCTGCTGCCCACCCCTTACCAGTGCGCCGAGTGCGGCCGGCGGTGCAGCGACCACGCCACGCTCATCAAACACCAGAGCACGCACGCAGAGGAGAGGCCCTACATCTGCGTGGAGTGTGGGGACAGCTTCCGACGGAGCTCGGCCCTCAACGTGCACCTCAGGATCCACCGAGGGGAGAGACCCTACAAGTGTGAGGAGTGTGGAAAAACCTTCAGGCACAGCTCAGCTCTCGGTGCACACCTGAGGATCCATGCGGGAGCCAAGCCCTACGAGTGCAGTGAGTGTGGGAAAAGCTTCCGGAAAAGCTCAACACTTAAAGTGCATTTGAAAATCCACGTGGCCAAGAAACCTCATAAATGTGCAGCGGGCAGGAGAGCGCTCAGTTCACGCTCACTTCTACCATAATCCAGAATAATTTTGTGCTGTGTTGAAGACTTTGGGAAAAAGGAAGGTGACGACTACCACAATGCAGAAGGACTAGTTGGTGACAGGGTTGCTGTGGTATTAGTGCTGGGTGTTTAATGCCCATGGTATGGTATGAGAAACCTTTATGAGCTCCAGAAGCAGTGAATTAGGACTCAGAGCTGAGTGCTGGGGGCTTAGGAGGAGATGGCTGACAGCTGGAGGAACAGGGACGGATTTCTCGGTATTTGGGAATTGTGAGTCTGTGGCAGAATGGAAGTAGAACACTAGGTTTTTAAAGTGACTTTTTAACTAAAGATCAAAATAAAAAAATCCAGGTTTCTTCCGACTCAAACCTTTGGCTTATAAGACACTGTAGCAGTCTTAGAAACTCTCTTTTTGTTACCTTATTTTTCATGAATGTAAAAAGTTTACACAGTGCTTGAAAAGGCACTTCCAGTTCTTTGAGCCAGACACTTTGGAGCTGGACCTCAGTCTGTCTGTCTTTTTTCCTCCTCTTTTCCAAATGACAATGGATTCCTACCTCCACGTGCAGAATCTGCGGGACATGGTACCTGGTAACACAGAACGGATGTGACCTGCTCCTGAAAACATGGACAAAAACTCCGTTTTTGGTTGGAATGCTGCCTGTTTGGCAGCTTTATCAAAATTGGTCTTCCCTGGTGTGAAACACCTTGGGAGATCAGTAAAACACAGGCAAAAATGTGGCCTTACCTTCTTTAACCAAAAACAACAAACAAACCAACTCCCAACAACAACAAAAATCCCTAGATGTCCTAGTCAGATTGAGTACACTCCACGAGTTGCTTACTAGTGCTAGTCTAGAGATTGTCTGCAATTTTCTAGCCCTTTTATATGATAGAGTAGTCTTTAGCTCACTGTTTGTAGAGTATTAACATACAAAGCTCAGTGTAACATTTAGGAATTACTGCAGTTACATTTCTTACTACCCTAACGACTATATATTACACAGGCCTTCTTTATATTGCTGTTTTACTCCTAGGTACGTGTTTCCAGACTGAATAAAACCTCTTTTCTCAGCATAACCCTATTTCCTGTCCTCATGTGTTACACGGCGGCGCCGGGGGTGTCAGCCTCTTTCGGCGGAGTTTGGCGTGGAGAGGGGCTCCCGGGACGGGGGGGGGGGGCTGGGC